ACGGTACTGGGGCGACGGTTAGCGACCGGTACCGGTGCCCGTTGGCTGTCCGTTGTTGGGTGTCCTGTGAGATGCGGGCGGGTTTTGGACCGGCCCCTGGCGGTGACGGCGGCGGTGGGGGCCGTGCCGGTCCCTGACCCAGATGCAGAGGGTACGGCGAGGTAGGGTGGAGGGGAGCGAAGGAGGGAGACTGGTCTGTGTTGACACACTACCGGGCAGGTGACAAAGTATCGGACAGCGGGAGGGACGGCTCCCGGGCCATGTTTCAGCGAATCCTCTCTGTCCCACTGGCGACTGCCGTTTGTTTGACTATCTGCGGCCCGGTGTCTGTCTGTCGGCGGTCGGTGGGGAGCAGCGCCCCAGCCCTCTGTCTCTGCCGCTCTCTTCTGTGCCCCGGGCGCTCCTTCCTCTGTCCTGCCGAGAGCCGGTGATAGTGATGTACGGCGGTCGTAATTCGCGGCGATGCGGGTCCGCCGGCGGCGGCGCCGCTGCTCGTCACCGCACATAAACCGTCGCCGGTCCTCTGGCGTGCTCAACCGGCCGTCCTGGCCACTCGCCGCCGGCCAAGAGGCACTTGGTTTCAACATGATGAGCGCTCGGCCCACCGGCTCCCTGGGGCGGTGGCTCCGCCCGCCGCTCCGCTGCCGAGTCCAAAGAGCTGCAAAGGTGCTCATTTGGCAGGAGCGTCGCTGTCGCTACCACTCCAACCGACTGGCTCAGGAGCCGGAGCCAGCCTGCGTCAAACGGCCTGGAAGTGTTTTGGCGTGGCTGTCTGTTTAAAGGGCATGTCATGCTAACTTTGGGCGGCCACCGATGCGTGCTTCCTGTGTGTCAGTGACGGCTGTGGCCTCTGAAGTTCAGCGTTACTGACTGGTCGGCGACCAGCCGTCCGTAACCCGTCTGACAACAATTCGTCATGACTCATGACCCAGTGGCTTTGGACGGGTTCTCTGCTCGCCGCTCCCCCACATGTCACCTCGTCTCGTCAGCGCTCAGAGAATATCACCAGGCCATCCAAACATCCATTTCTCCGGGGACGTTCCTGTCGCCATTGGCCTGTGTGAGCCCGGCGAAACCTTCACGGTGTGACTCTCTCCACCAGTTCAAATTCGAACTGGCGCCACTGGTCGGCCGGCCGGGATCGTGAGACATTCAGTGACCCCGTGGGATCTAGCCAGCCCCCATTAGTACCAGTCGCCACGCGTCTCCGTCGTCTGGCCGCCCTGAAGCGGCGCTGCACGGCGGCCGACCGACGTTCTCACGACTGCGAGGTCGGCATCGATCGGGCCGCCAATTTTAGCCGTGAGCGCCGCCCGGAGAGCCGTGCGTCAGCGCCGGTGCACGCCCCCCGCCGACGCCGACGACCCGGCCGGCCCGTCGGCAGCGGCGGCACGCGATCGGCCGCCGGGCTGGAGTTCGCGGAATGAGTCCGCGACGGTGGGCGGTGCGCCAGGCATCGAACTACCTCGCCGCGGCGGCCGCCCGCCCGCCTCGGCCGGTGCCGTGGTTAGAGATGTCCGCGGCGCGGATACCGATGCCAAATCTCGTCCGAATCTGCATCGGCGGCGGCGGCGGTGGCACTGTGCCGGCGACCGTGGCCTCGACGGCAACGACGCACTCTCAGGGCCGCCGCTTCCTGCCAGTGCGCGCTTCCCACGAGTGGCGGTGGAGGGTGCGTCGCCCCCGCCCCCGCCCCCGTCGTCGCTCTGCCCCGCCCAGCTGGCCGCCAGCCGGCGCCGTCTCAAACCGGGGAGGAGGTGGAGACGGGGCGGACTAGCCGAGGTCCCTCGAGACTCAGCAGTCGGGACGGGTCGGCTGCAGCGGCTGCCGCCCGGGGCAGACGATACCATCGGCATGGCGTCTGCGCCCATCGCGGCACCGCTGATAAGAGGCAAGGTGCAGCGGAGGAGAGCGCCTGGCCCCTCTGGCCACGACCGACTACCGACAGGAGCCAATGTGTTCTCGGTAGGGAGTTACTGGGTCTGCACGCCGGGGTCATGAGGTCGGCCAGAGGTCACCACCGGACGTGTCAGCTGACTGGGTGCCCGTCTAACCCAATTTACCCTCATCGAGCCGGCCATCACCGTGCCATAACTGAAGCCAGAGGCGGAAATACTGCGGATTGGCCATCGCTCGCGTTGGCCACAGCCTGGAGCCTGGCGAAAGTGGCCTGTGGCGGCGGTGGTCGAGCGGAGTGTGTGAACCTTCGCGGTCTGGACCGGACGTGCCTCAGATGCATCATACTCTGGCTGATAACGTCTCGGCCCTGATGTGGGTCTAGGTGCCGCTCAGGATTTCCAAAACACTGGTGCTAGGCCTCACACGACGGGTATGTGAGCCAGACTGTGTGCCGATACGTCTGTTTGTGCTTAGATACTCCTTCTCCACTATTCTTGCTGCTATAGTACCCTCTTATCGCAGTGTAAACAAGGTGGACTGTGATGGCTTTGTAAGCTGCATGCCTCTGCACGGCCCCGGCGGCTGGGTGTCGGTGACGCCTCGCCAGCCGATGGATATAGATGATGATGATGACCGCACGCCCCTCGGCCGAACATCTGCCTCGGACGGCGTGGACAGACGCCGGCTGGTTCGGACAAGTGCCGTGCTGATGGCTGGACGTCTGATCGGGATGGGGTGCCGATCGACACGTTCCAGGTCGTCACCAAGCGACGGCCAGCGGCACTAGAACGGCCGACGGGCCGCCGCTCTCGACTGACAGCGGCGCGGTACGGGTGCGGCTGGTGTGCCGCCGCCGCCTCCGGTGCTGCGGCGTAGTACTCGCTCGCCATCGCCGCCTCTGAGTCAGTGATCGCCGGTGGGCGCGGCGCCGTTATGGTAATGGCTGACGGTGGTCGGCTGGGGTCCCCGCCGGGAGCCAGAGTGGTCCGTCAGAGTCGCCGGTGACAGGGCAGTGACGCGTGACGCCACCGCCGCGCTCGGTCGGTGCCGGACGGGGTGCTCGACCACCTCTGCCGCACCTCTGACAGGTGTGCGGGTGCTGTGGGAAAAGGAGTCTGCTCGGCCGCGGCGCCGGCCGGTGTCGGGCCCACGGCAGCGGCCTTGCTTTCACTGGCAGGCGCCGGGCCGACGTGCGCAGCTCCCCGGCAGCGCCTCTGTGAGACGGCCGGCCGAGCACAATACGCGGCCGTCACAGGGTCGGACGGGCCCGCGGCAGGTCGGCCGTCCTCTGAAGGAGCCCCAGTGGCGCGCGAGATAGACCGCCGGCGTCCCCAGCGGGGTCCCTGCCCCTTGGGTTCGAGCAGGGTGGACGGGCTGTCTACCCCAGCGAGCAGTGGCAGAGGTGGCCGTACCCGGCGGGGTACGGGGCTGGCACAAGGTCTGTTGGCCTGACGTGCCCTTCTACAGCCGGTGATGTCAGGTGTTGCCAGATATATCGGCATGGAGATTTATCGCGCCCGAGACGATGCCAGATGCCGTTTCCGCTTCGATAAGGTTGTTTACCGACAGCCTATCACTCTGTCTTGAGCCGACGCCACCATGATGGGACAATTATGGCGCGTCTTAATCTGCTTTCGTGTGAGCTGAGTCTGTTTTGTGCATTTCAAACCCCAGGAAAGGTTGTGACTTGCTAACTAATCGGCATTAAGTGACATTGGTGACCAAGGACAGTTTGGAGGCTGTTTCCTAATGAGATTCCCCGGTAAGATTGCAGTTTCGTGAGGCGCTTCTAACGCGATGTTTTTCTCCACTAACGGTCGTGCTATGAGTCACGGCTGCGCAGTAAACGCGTGATGACTCGTTTCGCGGTATGCCAGTGGGTCTCTGCGTCAGATGCTCTTGAACGCGTCGTGTCGAGTGTATCGGGCGCCGGGTGATACCGCGTGCACCTGTCGTCTCAGCTGCACCTGTGGTCTCCCGGCCCACCGCGATACAAAGTACGCGGCCTGCTGACTGTGAGGGGCACAGAACGGGGCGGGGTGGTAAAGGCATCGAAATTGCCGTGTTTTATATCGTCACAATCTTGGGAACAGAGCATTAACGCGTATATATTTATGTCTGCTGTCAAATCGTGGTTTCTGATGTCACCTCCTTCTAACTCTTTAAAAACTCAAACGCCTTAGCTCATGCCCAACCGGTGTTCCGGTAAACCAGCAATAAACCCTTTCCCAAGTTGTCAGACCACTCGACAGCACTGTTGGAGACGATTGGTGCAGGCCGGGTGGCGGGCGGCTCAGCAGACCCCAGCTGGTGCTCGGGAGACGTACGGACCCGTCTCACCACCAGCCAGCGGGTGGCGCGGTGTGTTGTGTTTGCCTCCCACTAGAACAGACTGTCTGCACTGCAGACCTCGACATCACGACGGTCACAGACCAGCTGCCGCGCCGGAGAGGGCTGCTGGAGGGAACTATGACTTAGTTATGACGCAGTAAAGAGCCGCATAAAAAGGCAGAGACGGGACATGTGTTCCTGACAGGTTGGCAAACGGGCACAGTGCTGGTGATGTAGGGCTGTGACAGTAATGGAGAATACAGTTAGTCAGTTCTAGTTTGGGAGGACGACTTTGCGGTGTGGTCCACTGCTGAGCCGAGTTATCGGGGCATGCATCTGTGATTAGTGGTTTGGCCGGCGGGACCCGTCGTTGCTCAACCCTTGGCGATGGTGAAACGGGTGCCGCGCCACCGATCATCGATGGTTAGGGTTGGCCACAGTGTCATAACGACCGTGCTGAGTGACGTTTGCATACAGTGGGTGCGTTAGACGCAGTTCTCTAAACATATAATGGCCGTCAGTGTTGATACCACGATGTATTATCCGTGATAGCGTGGGCCGTGGTATATTCAACGTGCATGCACTGACGCAATGTTGTTCATTTGGAATATTCGCTTTGTCTGGTTCTGTGACCCACGTGATGTTACATAAAAAGGTTATGTAAATATGTAAAAAGATGCACAGGTGTAGACCGGCTGTCATGCCACCATGGTGTATTGGTCCGTTATATTGCTGCTCGTTCTGACCACAGTTCTCTCTCTGTTTTGCAGTCGGCATGGACAGCAACATCACGCTGTGGCAGTTCCTGCTGGAGCTGCTGCTGTCGGACCAGTACACCCCCATCATCCAGTGGACCAGCCAGGAGGGAGAGTTCAAACTGGTCAACGCCGAGGAGGTCGCCAAGCTCTGGGGCATCCGCAAGAACAAGCCGCAGATGAACTACGACAAGCTCAGTCGCGCCCTGCGCTACTACTACGATAAGAACATCATCAAGAAGGTCATGGGACAGAAGTTTGTATACAAGTGAGTCATTGGGCAGGGTGAGAGGGTTTAGTGCTAGAGAATCACTGTTAGTGGGTAGGTGTGGCCGAAAGGTGCCGATGCGAGGCTGGTTGTTGACCCAAACCTGTCGTCGATAGGCTGATTTCTGTTTGCTCAGGAGATATCTACGGGAACTCCCTGGCGCTCGTCGGGCCGAGTCTCTGATAGCGATGCCATGAATATCGCAGGCAATTCGGGGCCCATCTTGGGCGTCGCGAATAGCCAATTACTGGGCCCTAACGTCAGACGCGCGGTGCTCGTTACACGGAAAGACCTCTAAATCCGGCTGCTGAACCTCCCACACGGCTGGGGCGGCTGGCTTTCTCGGCAATGTCGCCGGGCTGATTATCAATGCTCGACGCAGTGCCGTATTTCGCTAATTCTGAGAAAACTTGTCCCGGGGATGTCCCGGTCAGAGTTCGTTCGACATGGGGGGGGCAAGATGGATTCCTTCTTGGAAGGCTGTCATGCTGACCGGAGGTGCGGGTGGGGTGACCCATGGAAGGTCACCAGTAGGCGAGGTCACCGCCGAGGTCACATTGATTGGTATAGGGTCATATTAAGGGTCACACGGATCATTGGCCAGGCTAGATGGGGTGGACGGGGGTATTGTGATCAATATTGTCAAGGAGCGTTGGCTGGAGACGCAGGCCTATGAGATTTGTCTCACCTGAGCCCCAAAGACACCTGTTGCTCCTGTAAGAGGTGATGGGATTTCTATTATTGGCGCCGTGTCCGAACCGCGGGGGATTCATTTGGCCGGGACTAACTTCAATAGCTGTCCGGCCGGCCGGCAGGAGTGTTTTATTGTTATGGCGGCTGCGACCTCTGGGAATTCAGCGCGCAGCAGATTTCCAGGATTGCTAAGTTTCTAGCTGGTGGGCGAGTTAGACATGGTGGACATGACTTTTGCGACTTGTTACAAAGTCGCTGACCCAACCCAGAGACGATTTTCAAAGTGTCGCCATGAATTTGCAGTGAATTTCAACTTTGACCTATCGCGTATTGTTGCTGACCTTTTATATTCTGACACGTTGTTGTTTCATTTCATATTTTCATATCTTCGACCTATTTTTATCTTGAAAGTTGTCGAGCTATGCCTGGTCGGGTAAGGCCTTATAGAGCCTAATCCTAAATTTGCCTACTCTCGGCTTTGCATTTTATTGAGTTCCATTAATTACAGACGAATCAGTACTTTATGAAGCCGAATGTGGTATTGCTAAATGACTTCGATGACTGTGCTCTGTTTTCTCTCCCCAGTTCCGTCCCTTGCCGTTCACTCTGTGCTCTGACTGACATTTGTGTCACTCTGCCGTCAGGTTTGTCACCTTCCCGGAGCACATGAAGCTCGAGAAGTCGGTGCCGTTCCACGTCAAAATGGAGCAACTACAGAAGGTCGGCGGCCCGGGCGGCGGCGGCGGCGGGCCGGGCACTCCTCAGCCGCCCCCGCCCCCGCCGCAGCAGCCGCCGCCGCCTCAGCAGCCGCCGCAGCCGCAGCCGCCCTCGCTGCCCAAGATGCCCACCGGTTTCAGTCCCTACCAGAGTGCCATGCACAACAACCTCATGCGGAGTGAGTATGGGTGGCGTGCGTCAAACAGCCTGTGGCATGTGTCGCGTGTCGGTTCAGCGATGTTTCGACTGTTGACCGCACTGTTAGGCCTTTCGTAAATGTATCTCTGTCGTGTTGTGGTGGTTTTGTAACAGAGTTTTCCTGCACCCTTTGTTGCTATTTTTGAGTCGTCTGGAGGTCCCTTTCCTTTGTGCCAGGTATATCGATGTGATGATGTAATACCGATCTGGGAAATGCAAGGCCGGAATGCTCCGAACCTTCGACACGATATGCAGTATGAAATATCAGATATTCGTACAAGAAGCAGGGATCCCATTAAAAATCATCTAGTTAGTTGAAGTATCACGCAATCTTGGTCCGATCAAATATACCGTCAAAATACTGGCTGGTTTCAGTACTATTCAGAGTGGATGTGTCATGTCACTGAAGAAATGGGCCATCTCTTATCAGTATCCTAGCAACATTTGAATTTCCATGTTCAGTACGTTTCACGAAAAATCCGGCGATTCACATGTGATAGCAAGACTGCTAAATGACACTATTTCGGCTGGCGATTGCTTATCTCTGCCATGTCAACCGATGTTTCCTAAAAATTTTACACTGGAAAGACCCCATTCCCTCCTTTTGTTCTAAAACACTGCCAATGTTCCCATTACTTTTCATATCCCATATCTGGTTTTCGTACAAATGGTTTTTAAATATCGTCCCGTCGAAGTGTGTAGATGCTGCGAAGAATGTGCGCCTTGGTGTCCCGGGCCGCTGTCCGGTTGTATATTGTACGAGTAAACCCACCTCTGTAAACTGAACTCGACTGTTGGCCGCGCAGACACAGTGTTTGGCTGGCGCGGCCAGACGCTCAGATTATTTATCAGAGGCGGTGCCTTGGCGCGGACACCGATCGCCCAGAACCGAACTGGGGTCGGTTCGGTGACGCATTGGAGTGTGTGTTAGTAGGGTGTTGAGAGGAGGACGTTTTGCGTGGTTCGCTGACGGAGTGTCTTCTTTCTGCCCGCAGATCCGTCTATGGAGTCGATGTCGATGTACCACCAATTTCTGCGGCACCCGTACTCGATGGGCGCGCTGCCACCTCGCCCGGACGTGTACAGAGACCTGCGCGGCTACCAGGACCTGCCTCCGGTGTCGTCTGCGCTGCCGCGGCTGCCCGTGCCGCCCTCAGAGACCAGCGGCGCGCCGCAGCAGCCGCCGCCGCCGCCCGCGCCGGCCACCTCCGTCTCCTCCGCGGCGTCTCTGCCGCCCCCGTCCGCCGCCGACGACAGCACGACCGACAGCGGCGGCAGCCGGTCCCCGTGCCAGCAGCCGAGGCCGTCCCCGGCCGCAGCGGCGCCCTCAGCCTCGTCCTCCAGCTCCGCGCCGCCGCCGCCGCCGCCGCGCGAGACGCGGGTGAAGATCGAGCCGCCGGGCACGCCGGAGCGAGTGCGGCTGCCGCCCGTGCCGCCCATCTGCATCAAACAGGAGATCGACCCGGACGAGCCGGCGCCGCCGCCGCCCGGAGAGTCGGCCGACGCGCTGGCGGCGCCCTACGAGCGCCGGCCGCTGGCGCTCGCCTCGCCCCGCTGCCGCTCGCCGCGCCGCTCGCCGATGCCGCTCAAGACGCCCAAGTCTCCGCTGTCACTGCTGACACCCAAGTCGCCTCTGCGCTCACCAGCAGTCCCCAGCCGCAGCCCGGACTCTTGGCGCGCGCAAGACCAGCCGATGAACCTCGAAATGCCGAAGCGGGGTCAGAAGCCACGGCCGGCACACAAGCCGAGCAAACCCAAGCCGAGTCCACTGTCCATCACCTCCATGGACTCGAGTTCTCCTCTGTCCAGCCCGCACCCGTACTCAGCCAACTCGTTGAATACGCCCGTGGTGAACCTGGCCTCGCCATCCTACCTGCCCGTCGTGCCGACGCCTACGCCGTACGGGCCGTTCCACTTCTTCCCGTCGTTTTCACCGATGGCGAACCTGAGCCCGCACTTCGGCGCCGGCCAGGGCTCCATCTTCCAGTTCCCTCCGGTGCTGACCTCCACCAGCCACCTTCTGGTGCCCCGCTCTCCGTCGCTGCCGCTGCTCACGCCGCCGGAGCAGGTGGCACCGCTCAGCCTCGTGTCCCCCAGCAAGACAATCTCCGTCAAGTTATGATATCCGGATTCGCCGCCGCCTCCGCCGCCGCCGGCGCCGGCTCGCAGCTCGTGACGCGATGCTGGCGCCCCTGGCGGCCGCTCCGCGAACTGGTGGGAGGAGCAGTAGGGGTGCCGCTGCCGCCGGCGGCCGGGCGACGGCGTCTCCGTGCCATTCAGCTGTGCTTGGTGTGTCGGTGTGTGCGACGCCGGCTCGGAGGCGGCGGGCCCGTCTCTGCCAGGGTGTGCTACCTCCGGCGCGCCGGCGCCGCGCTCCTTGTGGGACGGGCATTACGTGCGCGCGCGGCGCACGTATCTCAACTAGTTGTGGCCGGCAACGGCGCTCGTTCTCTGTGCGTCCGCGTCCGCGAGAGTGTGCATGTGTGCTGCGGCCCGAGTGGGCTGCGAGTGAGTTGAAGTGCGGCCGCCGCGGCCGGGGTATTTTGTAAACGGAGGTGGCTGCGCGCCGCGGTCGCTTCCCCGCTCATCTCGACATCAGTGCCTTGTAAATATTATATACACACACCAACGCAAAGTACCTGTGGGCGGCTCTTTCAGTTGCGGCGGCGCGAGCCTGCGGGCAGGACGGACGCGGGTTGTGGCCGACGTTGTGCGGGTTTCCACTGGGACGCTGCCTGCGGGGGGCGCCCGGACGACAGTTGATGAGCTGTTTGGTAGGCGTAGACTCCGCCGAGGCAGGTCGGCTAGATGCTTTGTTTGATTCTGAAGCTGGTCTCAGCGTTTGACGTTTTGAAGCGTTTGACTGTCGGCGGCGCGACTGTTCGTTGTTGGTGAAAGCCGTCTTTCTCGTGCCGACCAGCGCCGGCCCGCAGAGGTCGGTCAGAGGCGCCGAGAGCGAGGTAGGCTGTTAACGCGCGCGCCACGCCATTAATGTTCGCATTTACCGTATGAGTGACGCGTGCGCCAGCGCGCTCTCTGGTTCTCCTTGTTCGAGCGCGCGCTCGATGGTCTTTTCAGTGTTGTCTACCCGGCTGCTTTAAGTGTTTGTATTTAAATGAGTTTTAATCGCTGTACTCGGCGTCCGTATCTGTAAGCTTCTTCCCGACATAATACTTCCCGGCTGGCGTCGCGTGCTGAGGTGGACGGTCGTCTCCGTCTCCGTCTCCGTCTGCCGGGGCCGTCCGGGCGCCTGGCTGCAGCCACCGAACTGTGTGCGGGCCGCGCGCGGGCCCGTCCCGCCGACCCACTGTATATAGACTGTACGAGGCGTCCCAAAACGCCCCATTATTTTGGTATTGATCACTTGTGATACAAGTATTGTGCTGTTTGCGTGAATACCATGTGCCAACCGTTCATCGTTAAAGGAGAATATACCGTTCGAACATAACGCGGCGTGTGAGAGGTGATTTCTGTCTTCCGTCGACTGGCTGCGGGGGTGTCTGTGAGTTAATGAGCGTCTGAGTCTCGCCCGCCACCCACGTGGAAATTTAGTGGAACACTTCATTATAAAACGCTCATGGGACCGTGTGGATTTGTGCGCCGTTTGAACTAAAGGTCAAACGTCTCACGTGTTAGCTTTACGGAGCAGTTGTTTTGCTAGTTATTAATCGCACATTTCAGACGAGCCAAAATTCTCAGCATACCGGAACTATTTATACATATTTCATCCCGTGCCTGAATTACACCTCTGTCTGGAACAAAGCCATTGGATCGCTGTCATGCCATGCCTGCCGTTCCCGCTCCCCTCCCCACTCCGTCAGACCCTCATTTAGCACTCGGCAGCCAAATTACACACCAACTACCTGTTATTGCATCATTCAGACGTCAGTTAGCCCTAGCAGTCGGCTCGCAAAACTCCAACGTCGACTGACAATCCCTGGCACAGGCGCCGCCCGTCGTCCGCCGCCCGCCGCTGCCGCACCCAGCATCGCTCCATACTGGGCATAGTCAAGGACAGAGCATTCGCTGAATTCTGTCTGATTCAGGCAAGTGGGCTGAGTATGCATGCGGTTGACTGGGCTGACGGGAGGGAGGGGAAGGGGGCATTGGTAAACATTCGCAGGTGCATCTATGGAGTATGATTTCAGGTGGTCGGGGAAGCCGATGATACCAGCGGTGGTGTTGATGGTTCTGATAGTACCAGTGATGCCAGTGGAGTTGGTGACGGTTGCGATGACAATGACGATGGCGATGGCGATGACGGTGACGATGGTGAGTCGGTGCGGTGGGGCGCGTCGCCGTGCGATTCTCCGGTCGCCCTCAGTCAGCCGACCATGGCATGTCGTGTCGGACCCTCAGCGCTGGCCGGCGGCCGAGCGGTCCGCCAGGGGTCGGCACAGGACCGAATTTCTCACGGACCGTGCTGACGGTGGACAAGCGGCCAAGGCTGAGTCTTGAAGCTCTCCTCATGACATATCGCATCAGTATTTGCTGTCTGTCACCCTAGCGACCTGCGACCCTCCCCGCCGCGCTAAGTTTTAGAGCAGTCCGTTCTCTGCGCCCTGGGCAGACCCCTGGCGGCAGACCGCGCAGTTACCTGGCGCTCTGAGCTCAACTGCGACCCGGCGGCTGAGTGTGGCAGCGGCGGCGGCGGACGACGATCGCTCAGGTGAGTTGCGAGCAAGATAATAGAGAGCCCGGGGGCGCGGATACCGGGGCCCGTCCACTCCTGGCTGACTCATCCGACCTGCAGCAGGGCTAACCGGAGTGACTGTTCCACAGGTGGCAGCGCATGGCCTCAATGGTTCACCAGGTGGTTCAGGGTCTAATTATTGGTCTGTGGTAACCGTCCGCCCCTCAGCCGCCCCTCCCCTCCCCGGCTGTCAGAGTCGAGTGCCCCGCCCCCTCGCCGGGCCGTCTACCGCCTCGGACAGTCACTTCTCCCGAAATTACGAGTGCCCTAGACTACATGGATGCCTGAATGTCAGCGTGCACACATGCTAATGGCTGGTTCAGCGAATTTAGCAGGGTCTTTTCAACATTTATGCTGGGTTGCATGTCTCCCTGTCTCGTTACAATGAGCTAATGTGTTCCGGGAAGTGTCATGCGCGTGCTGGACGGCTCTTGTGAGCACCTGTCTGAGCTACTAGCGGGGACACAACTCTGAGCTTCACCGGCTCGGTGACGCCGTCATGAAACGCTCGGTGCCGGGACACGTAACGGTGCCCCGTCATTGTTTGGGAGTCGACCGTTACGCACAGACGATAGTTCTACTTTCGCTCCCATTTATTATATCAAGTGCTCTTCCTTTTACCCGACATCCGATCCGTACTGTTTACGACTTACTGGGCTACGCAATGGTGCTACTTGAATTAAACGTTGGCTATTTTACTTACAACAACAACCGCCGCTTCTGTGACCAAACCATCCATCATTTTAGCACATGTTCGCTCCGGAATGGATGTGGATCCCCGGACACCCCATTACTCAAAGTGTTTGTGAGCCACTTACTGACATCAGGCTACTGCGAATTAATCCCTCGGCCTGCCGCAGGCATTCTAGTTATTTGATGATGTCATCTGGTCTTGATAACCCTCGTAGACCTATAGTCCTTGAGGGCGATGTTTTCGACAATCATTCAAGTTTGTATGCTCGGTTGCGCTTCCGACGGGCTGGTCAACTACATACCAATGTTACGATATCGCTGTTGGTCGTCTAGTCGTTGACATGCACGGTACTTCCGTTGGCTTATTTTCCGCATTTTTTATTATTTTGTTAGTGTAGTTACAGCAGTCAGCAGTTTGTCTCAGAAATGAGAATTGAGAAAGTAGTTGCATCCGAGTAAATTTAGATAAATATTAAATTAAAAACTTGTCTTATGGATAGACGTTACCGACCTGAACCCAGCGTTATGTCCATCAGTAATACCTATTTGAATGCTTCACTTACCAATTAAGTGACCGTTTTTTTATTGTTTCTTTTTTTCTGGACCATCGGGACTCGGCAGTATTGTTATTAGAGACAATTGCCGCGTGTCAGCATGGCGATATGTGTCTAATAATCGTCCGGGCTTATATACAGTACACACCCTAATCTAGCTATTAGATCTGTCACTTTTCCCATGGGGAATGGCTTTGTTTGACATTCGGCGGATAACATTTTGGAGATAATTTAGACCAGACAGCGCGGAATAATGAGGTAATAACAAACCGGGATAGAAACGGCAGAAAGTTATCTGGGAGCTGAGGCGGTCGGTTGACTTGTGAAATAAACCCCATGTGATGTGCTGGGCTCATGTGATGTGCTGAGCCGGGGATTTCGCAAGAAGGCTGATTGATGGTGACTCGGGCGAACAATCCAAACTAGAGCAGTCTCCATGGGAAACCTGTCGTTTCGACGGGGGAGGCAAGGCTCTGGGGGAGGTTGGCCCGCTTGTGGTTACCCCTCCACTGCCTCCCCGAGCAGGGCACATGCCGTGCCGGGGAGACGGGGATCAGGTGACAGCCACTTCCTGTCAGTGGGTGCCCCCAGCACGAAGATGGTCGCAAAAACGAGACGGTCGCGCCCCGGCCCCGGCCACCGGTAGCGTGAGAACGTCTACAGAGGAGCGGGGGAAATCAGTGCACCGTGCGCACGGCACGAGGGGAGCGGGGAGACGGCTGAGGGAGGGCCTGTGAAAAATGGGGTTACGGTAATGGGTTAGGGGATGTGGAGGAGCACCCTGAGGTAGGGTGGAATAAGTGACTGGGCCTGCTCGTTTTAAATGGTTTTCTGTTATGGAACCGTTTACTTACGTTAGGACGATCCCATCTGGCTAGCGGATAGGTATGAGGTATGTGTTTGAAAGAAAACTTCCTGTCGTTTTATCGGATACAAATCTTTTTTACAGACATGTTGATGTATGACACTTCACTCAATGTTGAACCAAACTTTCGAATTGCGTGCAGCGCAATTTATCATGCATATTCCATATGCTTCAATAACCTTGATCGCATACATGCATTGATGTAAATATGAAATAGGTCTTTACGTTCGTTTGTTTTACATATAAAACTAATGTAACGGCATGAACCCCGTCAGTTTTTTATCGTAGGTAGGCATATGATGATTCAGTAAAAACAGCTCATGTTCACTTGTGTACTCTTCATTACAGATGCCTGTCCTCTAATGCCGAGCCGTGCATGGAATCGGTCGCAGGAAGTCATGTAAAATACGGCATTTCGAAGATCCTGCGCCGCTCAACTGCCACCGACATGGGCGTCACCCCATTGGCTGCGATTATTCTGCTTGTGCCAGTGGCCGTGCATGTAAGTACCATAGGGTAGCCTGGGGCAAGACGCCCCAGATAATTTATTTTGCTACATAAATTTTGTCCCACATCACCTGGAAGGCCAAATTTGTGCTCAATGCGTTCTTTGGACATTTCACTTTAAATTGCACCCCTCAAATTCATCCACTTATGATCGGACTCCAAGCTAGGAAGTGATTTGTGAAGCAACTGCAAATGGGGCATTTTGCCCCAACCCCAGGGCAAAACGCCCCACGGCCTGGGGCAAGTAGCCCCATACTTTAGATTAAAGATTTAACATGGTAGTTGGCTAAATCTTATGTGAGAGGTCCGTTAGACCTCTGGAGGCACGGCACTGAAGTTAGCACATTCCATCCTGTCAGGTGTTCAGCTATGACACTATTGTATGAGCAGGTTTTTCACCTACCTCATAAGACCAAATAATAAATTATTGCAATGCGAATGTTAACAAAATACTTCCTTTGCCATCCAGTTGCTGAGAAAAATACACATAAAGGCATAGAAACTTACTGTTCGCCAGCTACCGAACATTAGAAAGTGGGTAGCCCGAACAATACATGAGGTAAAACGCCCCAGGGGCTTTTTGCCCCGCGACCTACTGGGGCGTTTTACCCCATCACGTAGTTCGGTCAGAGAACAACGCCTTGCACTCCAGCAAGACATAATTTAACACGAACCAACCCGGCATGCTAAGCGTTAGACAATAGTTGTTCAAAATACATAAAAGTCGCTAACCTGATGTGGACCATAAAAGAACGCCATGATACATAATCTGACAACAAAACATAAAAATCACTCCAAAAACACATTTTTGGCTATATCTCCCGAAAGAGTGATCACAATTTCTTTCCAGTCTGCTAATATAATGATCATATAGTGCACGTTTTATAGAAGAGATGATGTTTCCCCAGAACTCTGCCAGCTCCGAGAAACATCGGTGAGGCGTTTTACCTCGGCGGGGCGACTTGCCCCGGTCTACCCTACCATAACTATCATTTTCTGTGCATGATGCTGCTCCTGGGCAAAAAAAAAAAACAATTCATTCTTATTTTAATTCATTTAAACGGACACGGGACACAGTGGAATTTTCGTTTTACCCTTAAATACCCTTTCGTTTTAGGTATTTTTGGTGCATAATTTGACCGCGGCCTTTTACTTTTTAGTTCCTCGAGGCAAGCCTTTTGGTCCATTGAGATCATTACGGAGCGAGCGAAGCGAGCGGAGTCTTACGTAGAATAACGGAAATTTCTGAGTATGAGCGGCCGGCCGGCCGGCCGGCCGTGCGGACGCTTTTGCGAGGCTTATATCTCAGCAACCACTTGACCGATTTACATGCGGTAATTTTTGTAGGGTAGCTTCATTCCTTCTACCAAGTATTGGACTATTCCCGATGCATGTGGGTGACCTCTTATGCACGTGCCACGTGCAAAACGAGGAGGTGTCAGTTTTGTAATTGTTGCAATATCTCGGTAACTACTTGGCCGATTGCGCTGAAAGTTGGCATGTAGGTAGGCACCCACTAGGCACTGCATATACATATGCCAGAGTTGGGGTGCTGCTGCACGTGCGCACGTGCAGGGGTCGTTTCCAGATCTCGAGAACGGCTCGACCGATCGCGCTCAAATTTGGTACACAGTTAGGGACCGGTTAGTAGGGTGCCGTGCACAAGTCAGTTGGGACCCATTTTGCACGTGCGCACGTGCAGGGTGCCGCTTCCAGATCTCGAGAACGGCTGGGCCGATTGTGCCCAAATTTGGCACATCGCTAGAGACCGGTTAGTAGGGTGCCGTGCACAAGTCAGTTGGAGGTACCCCCTCGCAATTTCGCACGTGCAAGGCCCACCCTATCGCTTGCTCCGTTAGTCGCCCCAAAAGGCGTTATACTGGTTATATGGCTGTGGGATGTAAGAGCGAGGTCAAAGTGGGAACTGGGAGATTGAAGCTGAGCCGACCACCGACCCGCGGTGGCTGGTGCGCCCTAGCGACAAAGCCCATCGCACTGGGACGGGAGTCCTGGTGGGACAGGCCTGTCAGTCACTCAAACGGTCAGATGTGTACTGTGCAGTGTAATTCTACTGGACCTGCCCTTTTTAGATATGTGTGCTCAAAGAAGTCCTGAGCACATACAAAACGTATTGCCTGGGCCAAGGTGTATTTAGACGGGAGACCGTCTTCCCAGTCAACCTGACCTGCTAGCGCCACCTACGTGCTTCTGTCCGGCAGAGTTTCCTGTTCCCGCTGAAGGATGGCGCTGTATGCAAGGATAACGCCGACTGCGTGTCACCCTCGTTCCCCCGCGGCTGCTGTCTTATGACGGGTCTGCAGCACGGCAGGCCGGTCGGGCGCTGCCAGCCCATCCCGAAAATCGGTGAGTTTTTATCGGCATCAATTAGGGTGTCTTTGGTTTGATTATGGACAATCAGCAAAGCTATATTCTGCTTAGCCTGCTGTGGAAACAATTTGTACTTCAAGATATTTACCGACTGTTGACTAGCATAGCGGCTTTGAATTTATGTCACACCTGTCAGTACCACCAATCCCCATATCATGAATCACCATATAGACCTCAGTTCGTGGTTAGGCACAAGCTCATATGCATCATGTCGTCTGAGTGATGTGCATATATGTTTATTTGAACATCTGCCTACTCTCCTCACAGGGGAATACTGCGCACCGGGTGACCGCAGTCGCAGGATTCTCGGCTACTCGGTGTACACATTCTGGTGCCCCTGTGACGTCGGACTGACCTGTCAGCCGGTCAAATTCAGCCGGATGCCCTCAGGGGTAAGAACGACGGACACGATTAGACGGTTAGACGGTTAGATTGGAAAGTGTAATTTGTGATAAAACGTACAGGGCTTTGCAGAATTAACCCGCGCCCCAGTGGCGGTCTCAGCCAACTTCGCCCTAGTGTGTGTGTGTGGGGGGGGGGGGGCATATGTTACCACCCACCTCTAACTCAAAAACTAAGAGGGCTAGAAAGCACGGTTCGTCGGAAGGTCATCTCAGGCTCAAAAGAAACGGTATATACCATTCGAAAGCTGACAGTGAGCTGAATCCAAAAATGTATTTTTTATCAAAATCGATCGATGGCCTTTTTTGAAAATTGCGTTTTTGTAAAAACTTAATAATCTTTTATTCAACGGGCTGTCCCGGACATTCTTGAAAACATAAACATGTATTTTTGAGTTCCAGTGAAAGCTGAACGCCAAAAGAACAATATTTAGCGAAGCAATATTTCCAAACATTAATATGCGTCTCCCACAGCCGACAATAAGGCGCAATCACACATCTCAGTGTCACGATGGACCAAAGTCAGCCACACAGAAGCGTGAAATGACCCTTATCGACCCGCAGACCCGGCGCTCTCGGCCCGCCTGACCGGCCACGGAAAGAACGTTCGGCTCTCGTTCTACTAAACAAATGTAATATTTGCCACTTTAACTGTCCACATCGCTATTAAAGTTACTCAGGATACCTGTGAAGAAAATTCATTGTTCTGCTTGATTTACAACATGCTTTAAAGGGACACTCCCACCTTAACATTAGTTTTGAGTTGAGATAGCCAAATTGGTGGCCATGGCCTGCAAATACCGGTTTGGGCACTCACAACATCGACAAATGCTTTAATTCGGAGATATGGAATTTCAAACTTGCAGTTTTCGGATTCTAAGGGGCTAGTGCATTGGTATGCCCCCTTAGAATTTGTGACGTCAGCGGAGATCAAACGATTTTTAAATCTTTTACTAAAACGTTTGGTAGCACGCGGTGGTATATGCTGCTTTGCGCGCAACAAATGCCGCACTTTCAAATAAAGTCGCTAGGAACAGCGGAGATCCCAAAAAGTAAACAAAAGTAAAAGTCTAATATCTTGAGAACCGGTGAATATTTTTCGATGAAATTTGGTAGATATTCGTTTTCGCTCTTTCTGAACCGAGCGACATCACTTTCGTGCCAATTCATTAACTTTTTTGAAGGTGGGAGGGTCCCTTTAATTTACATTTTTCTTATACATGTTTTGTTCCATCCAGCTGCGATCAGTGCCCGCGCAGGGGAAGTGAGCGGGGTTTCACTGTCAGAGGCTGTACTGGTGACAGCTGCTCGGCCGTGCGACCGGTCAAAGGTTACCCTGCCCCGCCGGGCGCTACCCCCACTCCACCCGAGCTGAGGCCGGTGCAGCCTCTGACATTTCAGCGCGGCCAATTTTCCTTATATGGGCATGATAGCAAGCTCAATTGAGCAAAGTAGACATGAACAGATGCAAATTAATGCATGATGTGAAGATGACAGAACAATGAATTTTCTTTACAGGTATCCTGAATAGCTTTAATAGCGATGTGGACAGTTAAACTGACAACTTTGACATTTGTTTAGTAGAACGAGAGCCGAACGTTCTTTCCGTGGCCGGTCAGGCGGGCCGAGAGCGCCGGGTCTGCGAGTCGATAAGGGTCATTTCACGCTTCTGTGTGGCTGACTTTGGTCCATCGCGACACTGAGCTGTGTGATTGCGCCTTATTTTCGGCTGTGGGAGACGCATATTAATGTTTGGAAATATTGCTTCGCTGAATATTGTTCTTTTGGCGTTCAGCTTTCACTGGAACTCAAAAATACATGTTTATGTTTTCAAGAATGTCCGGGACAGCCCGTTGAATAAAAGATTATTAAGTTTTTACAAAAACGCAATTTTCAAAAAAGGCCATCGATCGATTTTGATAAAAAATACATTTTTGGATTCAGCTCACCGTAAGCTTTTGAATGGTATACATCGTTTCTTTTGAGCCTGAGATGACCTTCCGACGAACCGTGAAAGACGCGGTAAAAAGCAGTCGATAGCTCCCAATGTGTACGTTTGAAAGTATTTCAGTCATTTTTCATCTTAGAGCAACATTGGGGTCACCAGAGGTCATCAAAGGTCAAAATTTGTCAATGGTCATTATATTTTTCAGAAAACATGACGTTTTCTCAGGAACTATGGTAGCTAGAAAAACGCATGGAACAACAATCGATAGTTTTTGAACTCTTCTTTTGATGAGGTCATTATCAAAATTGACCTCAGGTCAACGGTTTAGCCTCCAGAGGGCAAAAACTCCAAAAATAGCTGTTTTTATGAAAAGTGTTTTTCGACAATAACTTTCGACTACAAAAAGCCACGACATTTTTATTGCCAGAATCGTGTTCCTCTCGCCGAGACGCGTCGAATGAACTATAATTTGACCTTGAAAGGTCAACTTGAAAATTTGACCTCAGGTCAAGGTCATGTTGCATATCAGTCGATGCGTCTCAACAAGACAAACACAATGAGACCATCCCCAGCGTTCTATCTCTTTCCAATCAAGAGTTATTGGCAAAAATCTGTTTGTAGCCTCAAATGACCTCGGATGACCTTTCTAGAGGCTATCAGCAAAAATGACACCTTGGTCATCACGGGTGGTCCAAATCATTGTGATTCTGAAATATTTGGACTGTTCCTATGCGTACACACGGATCTAGAGGCATTTTCATTTTTCTCCATTGACTTGTAATGGAAAGGTCACGCCACTGACCTGACCTTAGGTCACAGATATAAAAAAAATCCGAGATATACAACTTGTAGGCGCCCATAACATCATGCAATCCACCAAGTTTAAAATCTTTCTGACAAACACTGCAGGCTGGACATGATTGCAAACTTTTTTAGGCTTGGTCAGTTAACTTGACCTGGTGACCTGACCTGACATGATCTGGTGTCAAAAATTTCACACATTGTCCAAAATTGATGTACCAAAAGCTACCCCAAGCGCACAGTGATGCAAATGGGGTTCACGAGTGGCCATAAATACGAAAAAGGCCCAAAATTCAAGTTCACTTAATCGAATAAATCGTAATATGGTCAGTCAGGCAAATGTTTGGGGTGTCTGAAAAAGTATGATTTTAATGTTTTTGTCAAAACCGGCCTCGTGTATGATTGTCAGAAGTCGAGACATTTTCGATGTCGTAAAATGACTGTCAGGTACTTGAAATTCAAGTGCCGCTAGCGTGCGTTCATGTCATAAAAACTGCAAAAATTATACATGAAAATGATCCCCGAAACCTGCTGCTTCTAATGCCACGTCATAAAAAGCCATATCTATTTTGGTTTGGCGGTGAGCTAACTATTTGTAATCATGTTGCAACCGCAGTTTTTTACCAAAAATATTTACTTTCAATTCACCTACAGCACTTCACACAGTGTGTGCCCGTTAGTGCACCATATCATAGCATTGCCTAATCATTTCTGAGTCGCATAGTGAAAGAATTAAGGCGCTAGCACAGGGCTGACCGGCGCTACAGAAGTTTTCGTCCGGCACGGTCGGGTGCCGCGGCGCAGCGGGCGGCCCGGGCGGCCGCGCCGCCGCACCGCCCGGACGCCGCGTGGCGGCACCCACCCGCCCACTGCGCGCCCACTGTGGCACCCGACCGCCCGGACAAAAACCTCTGTAGCGCCGGTCAGCCCTGTGCTAGCGCCTTAATTTTTTCACAATGCGACTCAGAAATGATTAGGGAAGGCTATGGTATGGTGGACTAACGGGCACACACTGTGTTAAGTGCTGTAGGTGAAACGAAAGCATTTTTTTTTTCTTAGTAAAAAACTGCGATTGCAACATGATGATAAATAGTCAGAGTACCGCCAAAGCGAATAAGATACGGCTTTTTGTGACCCGGGAGTAGAAGCAGAAGGCTTTGGGGATCATTCCCATGCATATTTTTTTTCAATTTGTACGAAATGAACGCAAACCAGCGGCGTTTGAACTTGCGAGTGTCTGACCGTCATTTTACGACCTAGAAAATGTCACGACTTCTGACGATTATACACGAGGCCGGTTTTGACAAAAACATAAAAACCATGTGATTTCAGATGCCCCAATCATTTGTTTACTGTGCCATATCGCAATTAACTCGATTTGGTAAACTTGACTTTTGGGTATTTATGGCCACTCGTGAACCCCATTTGCATCACTGTGCAGCGGCGCGGCGCTACGCGCCGCGGTTTTTTATTCACACGCCAAAAACGCGACAGGGTGGTAACATATGCCCCCCCCCCCCACTGGGGTGAAGGTTAAGCATTCAATCAATTCCTGTGAATTTAAATATGCTATCGACATATTTTTTCAGCACTTTATGTGTATGGAATCACTGTCCACTTGACCGTGCATTTATGTGGCTTGACAGATGGTTTACGGTTTTACCAGCATTTTATCCCTAAAGTTGAGCGTTTATCTTGAAAATGTGAGGAAAAACTGACGTTGTTAATTAGTTGTCACAATTTTTCTTGAGATCCCTCCCACTAAAGTTCGAGCTGACCCACCCGGGTGCTTTTGTGTTGATTGTAGATGGACGCCTACACAGATCCACAGTGCGTTCCCGAAGCCTTCCCCGAGTACGTCACGGCTCGGCCAATTAATGCAGAGCTCGATCTGGGCGTCACGGTGGTATAACACAACCAGAATGTCGTGAAACACAGGCGTGATGGTTGTAACACACAAGTAAGACGTGTTGTAACTTTGTGGAGCGGGAGTGTTTCTCAGGTGTAAGGTTCGGAAAACTTGTGCATAGAAATTGTATCGCACAGGCGTAACGGTCGTATAACCCAGGCGTAACGGTCGTTTTACAACGTTAGTATAACACTGGTAGTTGTAGTTATTATCAACTAACACCGGTAGTTGATAATAACACCAGCGTAACGTAAAAGTTATGTTTGTACAAAACAGGCGCGACGCTCGTGAATCCAAAATGTGACAGATATACGTGAAAGCGTGCGCCGTACGGAACGGCCGTTTGCGGCGCAAACGGCCACCTTTGATATCAAGATGGAACAAGGCGGCTGTCACTCTGCCGAGCAGCCTATAGATGTAATTGTTGTGTGGTCTGGACGTTGATGGCATTTAAGTGCATCGATGGTATTATCAAGACACCGGGTGAAGCGTTCTTGTGATCTTTGTACCTGAGTCCTGAAACTTGTATTTTTAGATGAATAAGACCAATGCTATCTCCTGTAGCTTTTCTCACATGGTAGTGCATATTGGTGGTAGACGTTTCATACTTTTCTGCTCTTTTTTTTTCTCGGCTAACAATCCTCATCTCTTATTTCTATAGAAGTCGTAGTGGTAAGCTATCAGCATAATTTTATGTGACCGAACCAGAGCGACGTTGCATTTATAAGAGTGTGATTGTTTAGGTTCGGCTTTGAAAATGATTTGCTTGCATGTGCAGAAAGTGGGCAGAAATTTTGTAGATATGGCGTGCCCTTCATAAAAACGTGGAACAGAATGGTGGCAGTGAAGCAGAACAGCTGAGCTGTATACTTTGTACTCTATGTTTCTGTTCGTGCAGTGTGTTATATTTATTGGCTGAGATGTGAATTTTGTATAGCGTCTGTAAAGTCGATTATAAAATCAGCCGAGTAATCAATTCATTCTTAAAAGTTGTATCGGGTGAATACTGCAAAGCATAAAGGGAATGGTTAGATTACTGCCGATAGATTTATTTTTAATTGAAACAAACCGGGCTATACAACGGTATTATAGGTAATGGTTATTTTATAGGATAGGTACGACTTGTCTAGTTCTTGTTTCTGGGAGTTATTACCAATCCAAGAGACGGTTGTTTGAGTAGAAAAATATGACCGAAGGCAAATACATGAATGCACTCCCTGATAAATACAGTAGTCTGAACAGCACTGTGTCGAGACGAATTAAAATCACCCGCGCTTTGATGGGATCTGCGGGCTCGCAAGTTCCACTAATCGTCCGTAGATGGCAGTAGTAGTGAGCGCCTGAGATGATGCTGTGCCGCACGACACGTTTCGGGCGGCAGCGGTTGTGGATTGTAGTGTTCTCATGCTTTGTTGCCGTCGCTTCTTTTGACACGTGATCACTATCAGCGCGTATTAATGATGTAAAAAAGAAAATTTTGAAACCGATACCAAACCAAATACCAACTAAAGCAATGGCAAAATACCGACAACCAAACCAACTTGTAAAATTGATAGAAATACCAAGTTTTTACCAAATTCAGAGGACCTTATGCATTGGTGATGACTCATAATGCCAGCAAAATACCAAATTAATGCATTAGGTTTGAAATACCAAATGCCAAGTTGGTATCGGTTTGTTATCGGTATACCAAAAAGTTGGTATCCGATTGACATCTCTACTGCGTATGCCTCGGACGAGACAAGGGGCGGGTATAAATATGAGGCTAAATCTACATATATTTCGCTTCTTATGGAGCTGGTTCTTGACAGCAAGGACGAGAGTTTATTACAGACCATCTGACGGCGAGACTAGGCATAGGTGTACGGGGGCAAAGCAAATATGAAATGATACCAGATTACAATGGCTTAGCCGACCATGAGCATCAAATGATTTAACAAGGACTGTATGGTGCAGTTTACTAGAATTGCCTGTGTGATACAGAATTGTTTATGTGGTCTAATTCAGAATCACCTATCACGGTAGGTAAGACGACATGACGTGAATCCTTCCGGACTCTCAAGCATAATTTAGGCACAACCTTCGGGAAGTTTGAGCAATTTCCTTTGCTGTCTTTTCAGCATTGTAAAACGAAACTTCAACAAAATTTGGACTCAGACCCACCTGAAAAGTAGTTTTTTTTGCCTTTATCACTTGTTGTAATCAAAAGCAAACTTAGACAATTTTAGAACACCATTTATGTATTTAATAAACAATTCAACATTCCTCAACGTTAAACTTTAGGCTTATTTCGAGACAAAAGAATTGCTTGGTGGGTGTGTAGTGACTAATGGGCTATTTGAAATGGTGAAATAAGTACTTTAAGGCACCAATATCTGCCCCGTTGCCCTTTCCAGTCACCACTCGCAGTTTTTTATGGCTGCAGCCGAGTGAACTGCGGATCCACTCCGCACCGTCCCTTTACTGCCAGTGGTGCCGAGACGCTCCATTTGTACCTGTCCGACGGAGCGTCGTTCCGCATGACAGGAACACTAGCTCCGAAGGCATTCCCCAGCGTTTCTGTAATCGAAAACCTTCTCCGATGGACCGAGATGCGCCTCGCTCATCTTTGACCCGAGTGGATCTCGAGATCTCAATAAGTTTCGAGTACGTCATATGGAACTGTGGAGATGACTTTTCGCGGCATAGGCAGAGACAGAGATCAGCTACCTTCAGCGCAACTTTCGGTCGGACGCGCGCCATCTCCGCGACGATGGTGCTCGTCTACGCCCTGACGCGTCTACGTCTCGAGATGCGTCGCTTTGAGCGACAGTGCGTCACTTTTGCGACGCGATCAATAGGTGCCTCGGCCGGCAGCCGTGCCACTGCTCGCCAAATATGACCATGTGGTACTGCAGCCAAAATATCCGCAACTGCGCAACGTTTGCTATGCGTCACGGACGAGCCAGCATCAGCCGCTAAGCTCACTAATGTTATATACTAGCCTGTAGGGAATTCAGGGCCATCCAACATTCCTGGTGGCCGACAGACGGCCGTGGCGGCAACAGGCTGGCCGCCGGCCCTGGCGGCTGGGCGGGAGCGGGGGCGGTGGGCGGCGGCGACGGCGGCGGCGGCGACGGCGGCGGCGGCGGCACCTGTGTGAGCGCCGCTGCGGGGCCAGAGCTGGCCGGGTGAGGCCACCGGTCGATACGGCAGCAGGAGACACCGGGCCCGGACACTGAGGTGTATCGTCACACGGAGCACGAGCAAAGATCGGTCGGTTGGCCGCGAACGGAGGGGAGGGAGAGAGAGAGAGAGGAAGGGAGTGGTGGAGAGAGGGAGAGGAGGGACAGAGAAAAAGAGTTAGGAAGGGAGCAATGGAGAGGAGACAAAGGGAGAAAGAGAGAGAGAGAGAGAGAGAGAGAGAGAGAGAGAGAGAGAGAGAGAGAGAGAGAGAGAGAGAGAGAGAGAGAGAGAGAGAGAGGAGGGAGAAAGAAAGTGAAGAGAAAGCTTAGATAGTCGAGCAAAGATAGAAGTCACAGCAATTGACGAGAAAGCACGTGACACGGGTTTCTGACGGCTGACGATGCAGTTTAATTAGCCTTGTCATGGATCTTTCATTCAAAAGGTTCGGGCCAAATTTATATTCAAAAAGGGGAGCCGAACCAGGTTTGGCCGGGTTAAACCCGGTTTGACCGGCATCTTAAACGCAATCATGGTCAGACAAAACAGAGGCTAATTTCGGTTCAAATATCTTTATTAACTGATCTTATTGTTTTTAGCTTACACGTATTTTCAGCTTTTTAGCTTTTCAGCTTTTATACTTGTAGCTTTTTTAACTCGAGACTTCATGCACAAAAATGTGGCATTCGTTCATTTTTGCTCATCGTCTCTTAACGACAATTGATTTGACATTAAAGACCCGTCTTACCAGCAAAAAAAAAAAATCACCTGCGTGATAATTATTTGCCTACGCAAGAAACGCCAGCCGGTCAAAAAAGTGGCGAACGATACGATCTTTCTATTGCTTGAATTATATTCAATGAAGATTTCAGGAGACAATAAATGATATTAATCCTTATAGCTACTGGGCGCCCGGAGCATTCCCCAGCATTCCATTGCCAGCTGCATTAACAACATTACATTTGTCATTTGCATTACTTTGGGTTCATCATAATTGACAATTGACCATTGATAGTAGATGAACCGGCCACAGTAAACCCATGCCTCATTATCCTTCCAAGCAGCCAACTGCCAAGCTAACTGGCCGCCCGGCCCACCACCGCGATATGGAACAACGCTGGAGTGCGCCATTTGCCTGCGGACGCCATTTAATTGCGTCCCAGAAAAGCTATTTCTGGCACCTAAAAGCTGACTCGCCCCAAAATTGGTCCTCAGCACCTATTTGGTGGATACCAGCACCAATCATGGAAAATGACCTTAATTAGCTGTTTCTGGCACCTATTCATCGGTACGCCTTACTCTTTTTTCTGAATATGGCACCTAAATGCTGAGCGTAGCACCAATCTAGTAGAAAAATGAACTACTGGCTGGTAGAATCATGTTGTTCTGGTATAATGACCCCTGGAGTCTAGTCTAAAGGTTGCCAGTGCAGCTACACTCTAAGACAGCCCGTAGTGATCTCAACATTGTATATGACGTTTAAGTAAGCAAATAATATTGATTTGTTTGAAAAAAACAATGTCATTTAAATATCTAAAAGCATTTATTTGTAATGCTTAAAGGGAAACATTTTTGTGAGTAATTGTCTCGATTTTGACCATTAAAACGGGTATTGTATTTTTTGACGTCATCAAATAGCTCCAAAAAAGAAATGTAATGTTTTCATTCCGTTCAAGGCCGCTCACTGGCGGATCCAGGGGGGGGGCCACGGGGGCCATGGCCCCCCCAAAGGCCTAAAGTGGCCTGTTTGGCCCCCCCCAAAACGTAAGAAAAATTGCTAAGAAAATATACCTTGATGGAGGTTTTTAGCCACTTGGTGAAGTAAAGCTTTCCACAGCATAATATGTAAGCAATATGGTAGCAGTGAGGGTCAGTCAAAAGTTGCGCGAGTGGAGTCGACCTTCAAAAAAGACTTGTTGGCACGTGTTTATGGCGCGGTAGCTGGGAGTTGGCGGTGTTTCGCGTGGTGTGGCATCACTGGCGGATCCGGGGGGGGGGGGGGCACGGGAGCCTGAGGTGCCCCTGACAGACCCGTGGTGCCCTTGGTAGGTCTGTGGTGCCCCTGGACCCTGGCAGGCCTGTGGTGCCTCTGGCGGGCCTAGGGTGCCCCTGCTAGGCTGCTGATGCCCCTGGGACCTGACAGGACTGTGGTGCCCCTGACAAGCCTAAAGTGCCCCCAACAGGCCCGTGATGCCCCCGACAGGCCCAAGGTGCCCCTGCGTGATGCCGTGATGCCTGCGAGGCCGGTGGTGCCCCTGCGAGGTCGGTGGGGCCCCTGACAGGCCCATGGTGCCCCTGCGAGGCCGGTGGTGCCCCTGCTAGACCGGTGGTGCCCCTGGCAGGCCTGTGGTGCCCCTGCTAGGCCGCTGGTGCCCCTGGGCCCTGACAGGACTGTGGTGCCCCTGACAGGCCCAAGGTGCCCCTGTAAGGCCTGTGGTACACCTGCTAGGCCTCTGGTGCCCCTGACAGGCCCATGGTGCCCCTGCAAGGCCGGCGGCGCCCCTGGCAGGTCTCTGGTGTCCCTGACAGACCTGGGGTGCCCCTGACAAGCCTAGCCTGTGGGGCCCCTCACAGGCCCGTGGTGCCCTTGTTAGGCCTGTGGTGCCCCTGGCGGGCTGGTAGTGCCCCTGCTAGGCCGGTGGTGCCCCTGACAGGCCTGTGGTGCCCCCGGGCACCAAGGGGGTTCATGACCCATGTGGCCCCCCTTGGATCTGCCACTGGTACATATTATATTGATTTGTAATGGCGTTATGGCTTATGCAATATGCAATTGCAGGCACTTGGTATCCCTCACTTATCCCTCATTGGGGGCTCTGGCGGGCTCCTGAGGGCCCACGTCTATCTCCGGGAGCCCTAGACAGGCTCCTTTGGGTCCTTTCAGTCCACTATAGCATAAGAGGTCTCCATGCTAGTCCTATACATCTGAGGACGTACCCTGACGTCTGAGGTACTCAACTGCAGCTCCAATGGTCTCTTACACTGGCGGATCCAGGGAGGGGGCATTTAGGGCCATGCCCCCTTCCCAGAGGCCTAAAGTGGCCCGTTTGCCCCCTCCCCCAAGCGATAATGAAGCACAGTTCAA